CCCCCACACCCCCACCTAACTTACACAACAACAACGACAACCCCAACAACAAACAAACTGGATAACACACCATGGAAGTATGGCCTGGGGAGGACTACTCATGAAAGTGTGTCTATGCATATTTTACCCCTTCCTGAAAGTATAGAAGTTGTTTCTATGATACACCGGACTCAAAAAGCATGGACAGAGTATAATAAACACGGTAGCCTGAACAAGGTGAGAGCACATTCTCAAGAAACACGCATACTGACATTAATAACTAGAATAAAAGCATAGAGAGCACACATGCACAAACAAGCAAGTGATTAAGGAAAACACAGCACAGAAAAAACTACGGTGTACAAAACCAAGGATTAGAGGTCTATATGACTATTCTAGCTCTCCAGGCGATCTTATCCTAGCTTATACCCTCGGTAACTTTCTGAAAACGTAACTTCGGCCCAATCACCTCTTTCCGACTCTTCCTATGTCTACTCTTCCTGGCGATCTATCCTTAAGCCGGACCTCTACAATTCTCATCCTTACATGCTCAAACCATCTTGTTCACGCTTCTTGGAACTTGCTCTCCAAAGGTACTCCACTAGTCTATAAGTATCACTAAGGGTCCGTTTGGTATAAGGAATTGGTGGAATTGAAATTGAATTAGAATTGAAATTCCATGGGATTCAATTCCATAGAATTGAATTTTGTCAATTTCAATTTATTTTTTGCACTATCAATTCTAAATCTACATAATTTTTGTGTGCTACCAAACACCAGAATTGGAATTGAAGTCCCTAATTCCAATTCCATATTTTGAATTCCATGTACCAAACGGGGCCTAAGTTTTCCTTGGTCTCTAAGGCATTGTTTGGCCGGAGGATGCTGGGGCACAAAGTCGCTACCCTCATTTGGGAACCAGAGATACACAGGTCAATGTAGGTACACTAAGGTAAGTACTAATATCAAGGTGGCCTTAGACCCTTTAGACCCGTTCAACCACACAGTGCCTCTAAAATATGGGCCCAATTTTTTTTTACCAAACAGCACTACATATTATGTAGATTCTATTACAACCCACAACTTTGCATGAAATTCTTGCACATAACAGGGACACCCGCTTTTTATCAACCATAGTGACTATATAACTTCATTTACCTCCTACCAGCATACTGTCAAGTCGGTACTGTGTGGATCCTTGAGATTGGGGTTCAACCATTTTTTTCCAGATACTACCCACAACTCAGGTCTTAAACGAGTATTTAATTTTTAATAATGAAATCCTAAATTCAATTAGGAATATGTAAATGACCCGTGGTAGCCTCATCTATAGTTAAGTATCGTGTACGGGCCCAATACGGTGTGGGCCGGTGCGGGGTATGACGCCTAACAGTGACTTTTTGTACTCCGTGATATTTCCCCACCTCTTAGGTAGGTAGCTAGCTATGTATGAACTCACTCAATAAACTTTTCTACTTTGAAAACAAGTGAAATTTAAGGAATTTGTAATTTTGATGTTTTTTCCAAATTGATAAATTAATAGTGAATAGATATGATGTGATAGAGTAAATAATTAGTCTACATGCCAAAAAGAGAGATTTTAATTGAAAGTAAGGTGTATTTTGAGATGGAAGAAAAGTGAAAGTGAAAGTAGAAATATTTTACCTAAAATGCCAAAAAAAATATCTATTGGCTATTGAGGCTAAAGCTTAGGCTTGTATGCATCACACACGAACATTCTGCACAGATGAATTGGCAGAATGATTATTGAAAGAATGCTTTTGCAGCCTATAGCTTCTTCTCCATTTTCTGTTCTTACATTTATCTGCAACATGACAAAGACTAACCTTTTTTGTATAGCCAAAGCCCAGAGGAAATAAATCAGGTTTGTTCTGTATCTTCACAATTATTATAAGGATATGAATGGCTCAAACTTATAGCAGAGTAAGATCTACTGATCATGAAGGTCAAACAAGCAGACACAATGCATCACCACATTCATCATTCATTTTCGATTCTTTCCGTGGGAAAACAAATTTCAAGACAATTCATTCTGCATCAATTGAGTTATTTTTGAAGGGGAAAAAGATGAACACCAAATGCAGAGTGAGATGCAGAAAGAGATTTGTCAAATTTCATAGCGAAAAAAGGATGAGATCAAGGAGCATACGAACGGAGAGCCTCGCCGGAAAGCCTGCAAATGCGCCACTCTTTGTGCACATGAGCCCCCATCTGCTCGTAGAACTTGATGGCATTCACATTCCAATCCAGCACCACCCATTCAACCCTCTCATACCCCATCTTGGCCGCCTGAGCCGCCACGGCTGACAGCAACATCCGCCCAAACCCCTTCCTCCGGTAAGTCTCCCGCACAAATATATCCTCAATGTAGAACCCAGGTTTCGCCAGGAATGAGGAATAGTTGGGGAAGAACAGCGCGTATCCAGCAACAGTTACGTCATTCAGTCCCTGGGGAGCAAATGTCTGGGCTTCTGGGTCATCGATCGGGAGGTCTAGGGTTAGGGTTTTGTGGATTGGGGAGAAATTGGGGGGATTTGCGGCAGCAGCGGGTGGGAAGGGATTGGGGGAGACTTCGAGGATGAAGACGGTGAAAGAGGAGAACGGAGGAGGCGGGTCAGAGGCGGGGAAGAGGGTGGTGGAGAGAGAAGCTTCGGTGGCGGAGAAGAGATGGGTGAGGCGCTCGAAGACCGCCATCTGGTGGATGAGCTTGTGGATGTGGGGTACGTCGGCTGCGGTGGCGAGGCGGATGCGGGTGAACACTTGATAGCCGGCGGTGGGGATCAGGTCCTCCTTGAAGACGCCGGGAACTGAGGAAGGCGGAGGCGGCGGAGCTGCTGCTGCCATTATCTGTGGTTTGAGTTTTGGAAGAGCCGAGAAGACTGAAGAGTGTGAAGAAATGTACGGAGGCTCACAGTTTCTATCTGATACTCGAACTTAAAAAGTGGTGTAGCAATTACAATCCTTTTTTTCCCTCTAGATAATTTTTTACTTATTTTTGTATTTTCATTGATTTTAATAAAATAAAATATTTTACTCCCTTTGTCCACTATAGATCTTCTCAGACACTATTTACAGGGTCAAACTTTACTCACTTTGTTTGCTCGTTTTTACTAGTCACACTGATTATTCACACGGATACACGTGACCAATGTACAATTTTGTTATTGTACTAGTATTTTGTGTCGGTGTATACTATTAGATTATTGGTGGAAATTCTTGATTTACACCAAACTAGTGTACATACTCGTGTACATTGTTGGTCCTCTTTCATATACTAACAAAAATTAATTTATATCACTAAAATATTATATAAAATAGTAACATTAGTAGAAAACGTTTTTCTCAAAGAAAATCGTCCTCGATTGCACAAAGATAATCTAAAGAATTATTTCATGGATTACCTACACATGAACACACTCCCTCCCTTCTTCTTTTTCTCTTTTCTCTTTACACCTTTTCTCTTTTCTCTTTACCCCATAAACATAACACAATGTTGATGAAACCTCTCTCTCTCGAACAATGACCCCATAAACTTCAACTTTGGGATTGTACGGAGTAGCGTTTCGATTTCAAATTATACATTTCTATTAGAGTAGAATAGAGTTAAGAGCTTGCTTTCTAATGACGAAATTTTATACCTTCTATTCCAAAACTAAAGAATTCACCTAGAATTAAGGTGGAAAAAAACAAATTCAATTTTGATCTCAAACTTAAAACTGTTGCCGCCCAATTGTCTTTAGAGTCCGGTATAGTCTTAAGCCTATATTTTTTTAGATATAAAAAAAAAATGTAAGGGTAACCCCAAGAATCCAAGATGTTGACACTATAAATGACACTGTGTGTGAAATTTTCAGAGTTGACAGACGAGTAAGGATAATAATTGACTGTAAATTTTCAGAGTTGACAGACGAGTACCGTCTTTGTATGTACAAATTCATAGACACTTGTCAATGTTGGTATCATCCGTAGTACATTTCTAGCATGACCATTTTTAGATTATAGAGGATGCATGCATTGGGGTTGCCCTTAAACCCTAAAACAAAGATGCTCAAGTAAAATTAGGTACTCTCCATACAGTATACGGAGTACTATTTAAAATATTGTCAAAGTAGAATTATACAAAAAGGTAGTGTTACAACGCCTCTATACCTCGCAGTTGACACCATGAATGACACGAATATGTGAGTTTGTTTAGACGAACAATGAACCCGTTTCTGAACACAGACTTTTGCAATAAGTGTGAACAAAGTCATAAACAAGATCAATGTCAATCGCGGGATATTGTAGCACGATTGTGAAAGAAGTAGAGGTGTAAGGATGTAAGAATAAAAATGGATCACTTACTGAATAAACTGACATGTTTAATCTATTCCTCATTTAAGTTTTCACTGTCAATATTTGTGATCTACAATGTCAACTTTTGATCACTATTGTTTTTTGATGGATCAACCCCACATTTTCACCCTTAATACTCTATATATATGTCCCTCATTTCCCAAAAGATATTGGGATTGAAATTATTTTAGAGTCACAAGGACAAAATTATCCAAAGAGGGGATCCATATCATCTTACAACATGGCTCAAAACTACAGGGTGAGTTATTATTACCAACAAAGATGAAAACTATCACAGTAGACCAGTAAAAGAGATGAGATTATGGAGCATACGCCTGGAGAGCCTCGCCGGAGAGCCTGCAAATGCGCCATTCTTGGTGCACGTGGGCCCCCATTTGCTCGTAGAACTTGATCGCATTCACATTCCAATCCAGCACCACCCATTCCACCCTCGAAACCCCCATCCTCGCCGCCTGAGCTGCCACCGCTGACATCAGCATCTGCCCGAACCCTTTCCTCCGGTAGGCTTCCCGCACAAATATGTCCTCTATGTAGAACCCGGGTTTCACCAAGAATGAGGAGGGCTTGGGGAAGAACAGGGTGTATCCGGCTACAGTTACGTCATTCAGGCCCATTGGCTGGAAGGTTTGGGCTTCCGGGTCATTGATTGGGAGATCTAGGGTTAGGGTTTTGTGAATTGGGGAGAAATTGGGGGGATTTGCTGCGGCGGGGGCGGGAGGGAAGGGGTTGGGGGAGACTTCGAGGAGGAAGACGGTGAGAGCGGTGAACGGCGGCGGCGGCGCGGGGTCAGACTCCGCGAAGATGGCGGAGGAGAGAGAGGCCTCGGTGGAGAAGAATTCGTGGGTGAGGCGCTCGAAGACCGCCAACTGGTAGGCGAGCTTGTAAATGAGGGGGACGTCGGCTGCGGTGGCGAGGCGGATGCGGGTGAAGAGATGGTGGGAGGTGGGGAGCAGGTCCTCCTTGAGGACGTCGGGGGCGGCGGTGGGCGGAGGCGGTGGAGCAGCTGCCGCCATCCTATCAGCCTCTCAGTATAAGTTCCGCAACTTAGAAATGGTTGATCACAGTTATCTTCTCTGTTAGGATCTAAAATTTGTAATCTCGAGGTAGTAGGGGACGCGTCGAATGGATATTTGATATTTATCCAATATGGATTTACGAGTTTTCTACCCCTGCTACGCACGGGCTTGTTATTAGGGCTCGTTGTCATAATGTTATTGATGCGATGGTTGAAAATGGAGAGTTTGGTTTATGATTTAATTTTCTTCCGTGCTACGCTTGGGTATGTGTTAAAGGGTTGTGTATGTTTTGGTTTTGTAGGATTTTGAAAGGCTACATTGTATCTTTTTGTTTTGTGAAATGTGAAGAGTGATATTATTCTATTTTGGGGTTTTTTAATTTGATGTTGGTGGTTGAAGAGATTCATTTTTTGTAATGATTTTAAATGTTCATTTTGGCATTGTACCGGTTGATGTTCATTTTGGTGTTTT